AGCATGACACTGGCTGCCATGGTTCTCCTGCTTTACCTGTAGCAGGTTAGGGGTTAGGTTTATGTTGTCATGGTTGAATGAAGTCTTACATAGTTTAGATTATGGTTGTATGAGATGGTTTGGATAGGGATGATCCTACCTCAGGCAAGGGGTTGGACTAGACCCTCTGGAGGTCCCTTCAGCCCGACTTCTCTGAGACTCTATGACCCAGAGCTAGGGGGACAGACCACAGGCCTCCAGAGCGCTCCTGGCTGTGGGCATTATCTTTGATACCATTCTGTGGTAGAAAAACTGTGAGATTTGCTAAAGGAAATGGCTGAAATCAAGGTGCAGTTTTATGTTTGGGAGCTGTAAGTAGTAAGAACAAAAGTGACACAAAGTTCCATATTTCAAGATAGATGCTGAACAATGTAAGGTCCGGATGCAATGTTTTCTCACATTCACACTCAACCCCATATACCATCAGTAGAAGTTAGCAAGGATGGATGGCACTTTTATATCACAAAGCTATTTTACATAAGAATTATTACCTTCTTTTATAGATGTGGATAATCACAGAAAAAGCAATTAGCTCTAGATCACACAGATTTAGCTGGAAGAATCAGGGACAGAAACAATCTGTTTTCTCATTCCTACACTGATGTTCCTGTTACTAGAATGTACAGATGAGCAAGATTCATGACTGGGTATGATGACTTGTCAAGCATCAACACCTGGCAGCCACTAATGACAGGTTATCTGACATAAGAACAGAAGACATACTGTGCTAAGATTTTATCACTCCAAAGCAGCAATACTCAACTAGGGTGCCATGGCACTGGATATCCTTTCAAGGGTTCCACAGGGTGCTGCACAACCTTAACACTATTAAGTATGTAAACGTGATTTGCAATAAACATGAAATTTCAAATAAGAATTCATAGTATTCAAAGCATTCCAATGTGTTATAGCCTTTGCAACAAAAGAAGGCATTTTCTGAAGGGTGCCTTGACTCTGAAAAGGTTGAGAACCATTGCTCAACAGGAACCTCAAAGCGCACAGTCCCAGCAGAAGCATTTCTTTGACCAGAAAGCAATCCCAGGGATCAGAATGCAATAACAGTCACTGCAAACAGTGGATAGGAATTGCTTCCAATGATAATTGGTTGTTGATAGGTCCTTTCGAACAGAGGCATCTCTTACAAACCTCAATCTACTCTAATGGCTCATCATGTCACTATCAGGGTGCCAAGCATTCTAAAGCTTTAGATCAAAGTGCCAAAACGGTCCGCTGAAGTGCCCAACCTATGCAGATGCTGAGGAGCCAAATCAAACTAACATGCTTTCTCTTCCAGTAATGCGTTAGGTTTTTTTCACAACTGTCAGTGCTGCATGTGTCTGTCAACGCCATGGCAGTGGGGGGGCCACCCTAAGCGCACCCTGCCCACCTGTTCCTGCCAACATGCCTCAAACCTGGAAAATACCAGTGAAGACAGAGTTGTGTCTCCAGCAGAATTGAGGACAGATGATCAAAACAGCTACTTGGAGAAGCCTTATGAATATAAGCACAGGAGCAGGCAGGCAGAGCATGCTTGGAACCACTCTGGATGGGACATGCTGCCAGCATGTCATAAGCAACCCTCACCCTCTCCTCCCCCACAAGTTCCTAGAAAGATAATGACAAAAGGGCTGGGCGGAAGGAAAATTTCAGTTCACAGAAGAGCAACCAGATAAATCAAGATGGAAGGACAGAGTTGTTGTACAAGAGAAGATTTGGTTCATCTAATACCTAGTGAAGCTAAGTCACAAAAGGAGTAAAATAGGGGCTGGGGATATGAACTTATGCCCTTTAGATGCAAGCAGTAATATGGAAGACCTGAGATGGCTGGAACAGTAGGCAGTTAATCTTGATTTCACATAGCAAGGAGGATTTCCTATCTCAAGGGACTCATGTTAAGGAATCCTGAACACCCATCACCCCTTTTTACTGTGCTGGGTCTGCCACTACATTCCTTTTCCCAGATCCTCCAATCCAAAAAGCAATTCAGTCTGAACCATGACATGCGCCCTTTTTGCAAACATTAACAGCATACTGGGCTAGATTAGTAGTAATATGCCAGAAGATTAAGGGACGTGATTCTTTCCTCTATTCGGCAATGAGGAGGCCACATCTGGAGTACTTTGTCCAGTTTTGGGCTCCCCAGTGCACAGTGACGTAGTATAGGTCTCATGCACAAATTAGAAAGAGTCTAGCAGGGAGCAACAAAAATGATTATGGGGCTGTGGAACATCACTTATGAGGAGAGGCTGAAGGAACTGGACATATTTAGTTTGGAGAAGAGAAGATTGAGAGGGGATTTAATAACAGCTACCTGCTAGGTAGCAACTACCTGTAGGGTGGAGCTGGATTCCTCTTTCTGGATCCTCTGATCTCCATCCAGTCGAGGTGCACTGAAACATCGGTCCCATATCAAATTGGCACCGAAATAAGGACAACTAAGAGCATTGGTAATTGGCTTTTTTTTGCCGATAAGTGGCCCATGCATGCGCAGCCACAGCGCAGCACACAGGTGGTCAGGAGCACAGCCCAGTAGCAAGGACAGCAACTGGGTCCAGCTGGTAAGTCTGTTGTGAGGGAAGGGAAAGGGCTGGGGGTGAAGGGGGTGCAGATCAAGATCCCTGTGGTGAGGGAGGGAGTGGGGTTGGGGTTGCACAGCTGGAACAGAGCGTGGGATGGAGCCTAGAGAGACTCATCTGGGGGCACGGGGAGAGGGTGGCAGCTGCTGCCGCTGCATGCAACCTGTGAGGCATGTGCCCCCAGATCTACGCACAGGGCAAGGCAGGCTGCCGCCGTGGGCTGGAGCTGGGGCTGTGCCAAGCTCTTCCAGCTGGGGGCCAGGCCAGGTTGTGCTCGGGGCAGGTGCTGGCAACGCTGGGAGGGGAGGTGTGGGGGCAGTGCTTACACCAAATTTTGGGGTGGCTGCAGCCCCCACCCCCCACAGCCCCCTCACAGCACTGCTGCCACTTGCCCCAACAGCAGCCCAACCCAGCCCAGCCTCTTGCCAGGAACAGCCCAGCACCAGCCCCAGCCCACAGCAGTAGCCCATCCAACCCCATGCACAGGTCTGGGAACACGCACTCCCTATGCCCTGTGGCCAATATGACTTGTTAAAAATCAACCATTGAGATTGGCCCCAAAAATGTCTTTCAGTGCACCCCTACCATCCAGGCAGTTTTCTGAAATCTGAACAATTTGCTCTGCTCCCCTGGCAGGAATGTGGGGAAGGTGATTGGAGGCAGAAAGCACCACATGCAAGTGTGCACGCATATGTAAGTGGCCAGCATGCAGCCAGGCAGGGTGGTGGGAGCAACCTCAGCAGTTGGATACAAGTCTATGGAGGGCTGGGGTTGGAGGGCCAGGGCTTGGGAACTGTTGGGGGGGGGGGGTACAGAGGGATGGGGGTGTGAGGGGGGGGAAGGGGGCCAAGGGTTGG